ATCTCCAACCTTTCAGGCATCACTGCATTCCCCTCATTCAGACTTTAGTCCCCACAGCAGGAGTCACTTGACTGTGTTTAGTTCAGCTACGGCCTCTCATGGAGCCAGAGTCTTTGCTAGTACCTGGAGCTACCCAATCTGCTGCAGCAGCCAGCATGCCTGACTGTGTGCATTGCCTGGACCCTGCATTCACTCACTTATACATCCCTCGTGGCTGCATGCCTGACTCACCCTCGGCAGGCATGGGATCTGGTCTGGTAGTGCAAGCTGAGCACAGCCTGCTGGGCCAAGGTGGCAGAACAAGTCCAGCGAATGCAAGCAAAACTCAAACAGAGGTGCCACTGGCCATAGAGGTTTCTGGCTAGCAAAGCAACACGCTGAGGATCCTGTGACACTGACAACTCGATTTAGCTCAGTGAGACCCATTTCAGACTTCCAGCCTCCAGAACTGTAAGGTAATACATTTCTTTTGTTTTCAGCTACAAGTGAGTGACAATTTGTTATAATAGCAATATGAAACTTATATGGAAGGTAAATTTCAAAAAAGTCTCAGAAATTAGAAAAAAATAAATAAAAATTAATAGAGAAAAGGTAAGAAAATTAGATGATTCCAAGAGGGCCAATATCCAAAGAACAAAAAATGTAATTAGAAAATGAAGGGGAAGAAAGAGTCAAAAAAGTTTCAAGAACATTTCTGAGAATTAACATACATGGGCTTCCATTTATTCCAATAATGGAAGCCCATGGACTGAGAGGGCTCAACCGTCACAACAACTCACACACTCAGATGAGTGCACTTGAGATAGTGCTGGATAACAAAGTCATCTCTAAAAGTCAAATGTTGCCAGGAGGAAAGCTGCCCCCATACTGTTTCAGAGCTAGAAATCTAATGTGTCCTGGTCTTTCTTATTTTATATTTATAGACCAAGCAAAGATCCTGAAAAAAGACCCCAGGGAAATGCCCAGCAGAATCATACAGTAGTTCTATCTGCACTCATAAACTGACGTATAACAGCAATTTTCTATTACAGTTTAAGAGAGTCCAGGGCTCTTTCTTGAGACTAATAGTAATTACAATGTGAAAAAAGCACTCTTTACATCAGTTAAACAGTGGTGTCAGAATACAATGGACTGTTCCATTAAAAAGATTCATCTCTAACAAGAAAGAATTTGCAAAACATTTATGCATATACAATTAGAGAACAAGTTACTTGTGATAGAATAAGATACTGGGTCTTTGTGTAAAAATGAATTGAGGCATTGAGTGGATATGAAAATATAAAATAAAATATATATGTATATATATTTTCCATCTGCAAAGATTGATGAGAGACTGCTAAAAGTAGTTTCTTCTTGAAAGCAGACCCAGGGAAATAGAGAGCAGGAGTCAGAGGTAGACTTTTATTGCTCTACATATTCTTTTTCATCTATCCATTGCCTTCTCACCAAGAAATAAAAAAGTTTAAAGTGTTCTCAAAATTCAAAAACAAAAGGAAAGGAGTAATAAAGTGTCAACACTTATTAAAGAATCAAGTGATAAAATAGTTGAAAATAACACACTGGATTTAGTGACACAAAGGTCAGCAGTCACCATAGAAAAGAAGAAAATTTACTGAAGTCTGAGGGAGCAGAGTAGACAGGGGAGCAAGTGGGAGGTGAAGAAGTAAATACAGTGGGTATAGAAGATTTTATCTAGATGTTTGGTTGTGTAGGATAGATAAATTTGGGATTATGGGGGAGAAGTTAAAGATGTTTTTGGAAGAATAAAAGAAAGTGTTTTAAAATAGAAAGCCATGGGGAAAAAGGAAATTGAAAATACAAAAACAGAAGTACAGAATTCATGGCAGAAGCACATACCCTACTCTTTTGAAACTTGGTGAGACTCAGGTAAAGCCTTCAAGGGAAAAAAACGTGCAAGAGCTGCAATGCCAGGTTGAGTATAACTTACAAGATAAGTAGGGAGAGGAGGATGGCTACAGTAAAGAAAGACATTAGGAATCAATGTCCAGAGTATGTGGAGAGAGAGAGAGAGAGAAGGTGAGAGAGAGAGAGAGAGAGAGAGAGAGAGAGAGAGAGAGAGAGAGAAGGTCGGAATGGCAAGAGAAAAGGATACAGAAGGAAAAGAGAGATAAATCGCTAAGAAAATTGTAAAGCATGAAATAGGGTAAAATGATGCTATTATCTTAACGTAAGCATTCCACTTAAGGCAGAAACTGTCTCGGTTCATGATATGGTTTGACTGTGTCCCTACCCAGAATCTCATCTGAAATTGTAATTTCTATAATCCCCACATGTCAAGAGAGAGACTGAGTAGAGGAAGGCGGTTTCCTCCATGCCATTTGCAGGATCGTGAGTGAGTACTCATGAGACCTGATGGTTTTTGTATTTGGTAGTTCGGCCTGCATTCACTCTCCTTCCTGCCACCTTGTGAACAAGGTGCCTTGCTTCTCCTTGACCTTCCACCATAATTGTAAGTTTCCTGAGACCCCACCAGCCATGCTGAACTGCGAGTTAATTCAACCTCTTTCCTTTGTACATTACCCAATCTTGAGCAGTTCTCTATAGCGGTGTGAAACGGACTAATACAGTTTGGGTCAATAATACGGGAACTTATAGAAATAAAAGGTGAGCCCTGAGGAAAGGAGTTAGCAAGCAACAAGAAAGATTAAACTCGACTGCATTGGGAATATAGCAGAATTAATGGAATAAAGAAAGAAAGAGAATTGACCCATGTAGAGGGAGAAGAGTGACTCAGCAATGTGCTGAAGTAGCTAAAATGAGTTTGAGAGTTAAGAATGCCTCATCTAAAACCAAACCTCGGGAAAGAAAGAAGGAGGTGACTTAAATTAGATGTACATAAAATGCCAAACACAGTGCTTGGCACATGGAAAGCTATCAACAAATGTAGCTATTATTATGGGGATCTAAACGTAATGAAATGATAGGGTTCAATTTTGAGATTTTTTTTTTCTTTTTGTATTTACAGCTTGGATTTAAGCTAGTAAAGACAAGGAGGTTTTCTTTAGGTTAATAAAAAACAAGGAAGTGTTGAATAACAAATAATAAATATTTCACCTTCAATTTTAAACCCATTTTGCCACAGGGCTAAGTGCTAATATCTTTGGTATCATCAAATATCCAATCTATTGACCACACGATCAATCTTTAGCAATTACTTTGAACCTGTCATTCAATCAAAGCAGCTGAGTCTTATGCCTAGTTCTAGACCTAGCACAAAACAGGAACATCATCATCCATCCTTAAAATAAACCACTTCCATAAAACAGATGCTTACAGCCAGAGTTGATCATGAGAAACTAAATTTTCTGGTAATACACTGACATTTTGAGATGATATTAGGCTTTTAACAAGTCATGGGATAGCATTTTGGAAACAAATTTCTGTATTTTAAGGAGCAGAGAAATCACAGAAGACATAAATGGTATTAATAAATTTAGACATTATTCTGCAGTTAATGATAGTTTGTTAGAGCAGAATAACAATAAATTTTAGTAGTTATTTGTTTTAAGGATGCGTCTTCAATGTTGTAAATAGATTTCTTAGATCCAAGTCTATAGATAAGGAAACTGATTGAGAGACTATAGCCACACGGATGAAAGCAATAATAAACATTTGAAAATGTGAAAGATGGAATCAACAGATATGGGACTGAATGAGCATGAGAAGTGAGAGTGGGAGAAGATAGATTTATGCCTAGATTTCTAGGCATTGGACTGCATAGCAGGGGCTGCTAATGCCTAGTGTCCCTTCTATGGCACTAGAAACATCTGTTCAGTTGGGTTCAGAGCCACCTGAAATAATGCTACATTAACCAGCTTCCTCTGAAGCTTGCTTTGGACATGGGACTGAGTTCAGAATTCTAAGCAGTATTAACACATGCAACTTAATAGAAGCATTCTTAAATTGAATCATAGTGATTTTTTTCTACTATCTTATGTGATGATTGATGATGATGTTAGTTGAAGCTCTGCCGGGTATCTGTGACAATGCTAAACAGGAGAGAAGTGCAGGGGTGGCACAGGAATAATCCAGAAGAAAATGATTTCTAAAAATGCATGGAACTGTCATACAAGCCTGGAACTGCTGACTTCTGGCCTTTTTTACATAACAGAATAAAATCTAGGATGGTTAAGCCAACATCAATTTGGGTTTTCTGTCACATTCATCATCTTAACCAATATAGCTATCTCTATTTATGTTGATATCACTCAGTGCTAAAAAATACAAAAAGAAGGAGTTTGTCAGGGAAAGAAAAGGAGTTCAATTTTGCATACATGGAATTTAAGTTGCTTATGAAACATTCAGATGGAGATGGCAGTGAGATGAGAAGCGGGCCAAAGGCAGAGGCTACTGTAAAGTGAAAAATTAAGAATCTCATACAGAAATAAAAGCCAGAGGCCAGGCGCGGTGGCTCACACCTGTAATCCCAGCACTTTGGGAGGCCGAGGCGGGTGGATCACGAGGTCAAGAGATCGAGACCATCCTGGTCAACATGGTGAAACCCCGTCTCTACTAAAAATACAAAAATTGGCTGGGCATGGTGGTGCGTGCCTGTAATCCCAGCTACTCAGGAGGCTGAGGCAGGAGAATTGCCTGAACCCAGGAGGCGGAGGTTGCGGTGAGCCGAGATCGCGCCATTGCACTCCAGCCTGGGTAACAAGAGCGAAACTCCGTCTCAAAAAAAAAAGAAATAAAAGCCAGAAAGTATCAACATCGCAATAACCAAGAGTGAAGTGTGTTTCAGGAAGAATCAAGTGATCAGCAAGGACAGACGTTCAAATGTAAGGTAAGTAAGCAGGGAAGCGTGTCTCTTGAATTAAAGGATAACAAAGTTACTGGCTTCCTGGGCGAAAGCAGTTTCAGTAGAGAGGAGGCAGGAGAAGGCAGATGGCCAATGAGTTGAGGTCTGAATGACAAATAGAGACAGGCAACGCAGTGACGTGGTCCCAGCCTCATCTTGCCCACTCTGAGGTCCAAACCTTCCTCCTACATAGTGAACTTGGTGTCCACCCTTTACAGCCATAGCACAATACATGTCTTCTTGCTTATTATTTTGTAATTCAGTTGAATTTTGTCTACTACCTTACTTCTTGTACACACTAAATTTTGTAGCCATACAGATTTTTGGCCAATCTTTGTCCATATCTCACCATCCTGAGCATTTCCACCATTCCGCTGAACAGCTATTCCAGATTCAGTCTAGTCTTTTAAAGTTCCTAACTAATCTTTAAATCCGTAATTCTGCAAATAATATCATTTACTACTTCATAAAGCAGGATTTTCAACCTAGGGTACCATGGAAATATTGGGCTGAATAATTTTTTTTATGTGGGGGTTGCGAAGTAGGGTTCACTGTGCACTAGTTACCCCCTTGTTTAAGTCTGGCCACACATCTTCACACACAGCAAGTTACATGAAGTGGGTTTATTATTCACAGATAGGCAGCAAAGGACACCAGAAGCCTAGGATTTATTACTCAGGAAAGGTGCCTGGGGCAGATAGAATCTGAACTGTGTCCGTCCTGCTTGTACCACAGCTGAGGGCCCTTGGAAAGCAGCTTGATCTGGGTTTTATAACCTGGGGGTTACATGCATGCTGGACTCAAGTGTTCAAAGACATCTTGCTTGAGGGTATCAGGGCTAAAACAGATCTAGGCCTGTTTCAGCCACCTCCCCTTTATCCCAAGATATGGCATTCCCAGCAAATTCTATGGTTATTCTTGAAAACTGTAAAGGAGAGAAAACTGGGCTGATCCAAGACCATCCATAGACCTGCCCTGCAGGGGGTTCTGCTGTGTTTTTGCAGAATGTTCAGCAGCAACCCTGGCCTTCATGCCTTAGATGCCAGTAGCAGTGCCTCCATCCGTTTTGACAATCAAGAGTGTCTCCAAACATTGTCCAATGTTGAAATCTACTAGTGAGGAAACATTGACTCCAGTTGAGAACCACATTCCTCTGGTAAAAAAAGACAAGCTGTCAAGAACTTTCCAATCTCCCTCCCCCACAGCTGCAAACTCAATATCATTTCACTTTCTTCACCTACACATTTGAAAGATAGGACTCTAGTCATTTTGAGAATGAACTTTTCACACTTCTGTGTCTTTCAGCTTCTCCTCCTCAGGGGGAGTTGAGCTACTCCCCGTCAGCCTATATGTAGGTTACTTGGTCCTGATAAAATGTCTTCATTCTGAATCTCCTTTAACAATAGTCCTTCCCCTCACCTTTTCTAAAAAGGCAATCTGCACCCTCTCTATATATCCACCTAATTTCTTACTTCATAGCCACCCAATCCCGATACATCAGCCATTCCAAACCATATACTCATAGTTTTCATTCCTGCCTTGGTTTCTCAAACCTTCTTTCTTTTCCCCTTCTCTTCTTTCTACATAAAATGCTCTTTCCCTCTTTCTTTTTCATTCATTTGTCTAACACTGATGCATCTTTAAAATCTCAATGCAAGAAGTCTTCCTAGCCCTAATATTATGGACAAGGTTCCTTGGTAGTGTACTTCCAGACACCCTGGGTTGACTGTTGTCACCATACATGTCACACTCTTATGCTTTACTTTCCCTTTCTTCTGTTTTCTCAGCTGAAAACTCCTTGAGGGCAGGGTCTATATCTCCTTTTCCTTTGTGCTTAGCTTTTTTAATCCAAAATGAGCATGAATGGTGCCATACTGTCACACTTAAGTAGTTTTGGTTTCCTTGACTTAGTTTTGCTCTACTGTGTTCAGATACAATGAAAGCTATTAGGAATTTCATTTACACCTTGGTGCCCTGCAAATATATCATCTTCCGCTCTGTCTATTTTGTTCAAATCATTTTTTCTATCAATTTATCTGCCCATCAGGAGGGATGAAAGTAATGGAAATAATACATTCTGCTGAGGGACGGGTTAATAACTGTTCCTATCTGACAATGCAGCAGCTTTCCAATTGGAACCAAGCTGCTTATTCATTGATTGATGGTCCAAACAGAAATGGTTTGCTTTCCTCACTTAGAAAGGTTAGCTGCCATTCTAAAAGAGGCTTTTTAAGACCTTTTCCTGAAGACTTTACATGAAGTTAATCAAAGATAGTGGAGAAAACTTTATTTTATGACACTACCAAATGACCTAAATAACCCATTTCCATTTTTGTTGAGACCATACTGAGTGATCTAAAATTATAACAGCCTCAGATAAACCTAGAACTACAAGGCATCATGCACTGTGCTATTATTGGGTTGACAATAAAACATTGTTTTAGTTTTTATTTAAATCCAATAGTTCAGAAGATTTGACTGATTAACATTTTTTAAACAAAAACCTCTACCTCCTGGTTCAAGCAATTCTCCTGCCTCAGTCTCCCAAGTAGCTGGGATTACAGGTACCCACCACCACGCCCAGCTAATTTTTGTATTTTTAGTAGAGACAGAGTTTCACCATGTTAGTCAGGCTGATCTCAAACTCCTGACCTCAGGTGATCCACCCGCCTTGGCCTCCCATAAAGTTACCCTTATATAATAAAGTGATTCAGGAATGCTACTATTTCTTCTCATAAGGAAAAAATATATACCTTGTAAAAAGATAGCAGTTTTGTATGAGAGTTATCAAAACTATGTTATTTAATCATATTTTTAAAACAAATATATTTTAAGCTGTTGTGAGTTTATCTAGTTGAGAAATTTATTACTCTGCTTCTTTGCTTGATATCTGGGAATAAAAACACTAGGTAAATAACAAGAAAATCTTTATATCCAGATTTGCAATTTTGCATCTGCTGTTCTACTTGTTTGAAATTAGAGAAATTCATTTAAAGATATTTAGAGAATGTTTTACTAATCAGGTAAGTAGAAAGGAGAACATACTGTTGAAAACATTTATGCCTAAAAATTTATGTCAAAATTGTGCAATTAAGTGAAGAGTGAAGGAAGTCATTGGTATACTTACAATTGTTTCCTCAAAATTTCAGTATAAAGAAATTAATTGCAAACATATGCATGCACATGAAATCCAGATTTTAACAAAGGATGTTCTTCCCTGATGAGATTGAGATGAGTAGCTCTTCATCATGAGAACCTAGTAAGGTTCTTCGAGGCAAAGCCTATGAAAAGATGGAAGACCCTTACAACTGTGGTCTACGGGAGATCCTCACACTCACACTAGTCCATGTTCAACTTCCAGCAATTGGTCAAAATTACCATTTTCATGTTTCTATGAGTTTGTGGCTCCAGCAAAATTTGTTCCAGGTTAGCCAAACTCAGCAGTGCCTCTCTGGATGCACCTGTCTTTCCAGATTTTGGAGTGCTGCTTTGGATTACAATTTCAATTCTTTGGTGGATCTTAAAAAATCATTGATTTTTAGTTTTTCTGGTTTTTTCTTGTTTTAATGATAAAGTGAAGACTTTTACGCTCTTTACCTCTGAGAGATGAAGCCAAAAATCCTTCCTGGTAAGTGTTTTAGCAACATATTTTTATTTTTTCATGCCAGGTTTTGATAAATTGAACCACTATACTTCTTTTTATAAAAACCTAGAGAAACTACTGCTATCATGCCATAAGATGAAACTATTGCTCTCATCTTGGTACTTGTAAGAAAGGTGTCCCCTAACTGGAGCATGCATGCAATGATTTTCTCATCAGCTTTATAGGAAACAAAGGAAACTTGGGAAACTAAATATTGTGATATTTATCAAGGTAAAAATTGATCTAGCAATAATTCAAATTTCAGGTACAAAGAAGTCAGTGTCAATTTAATGATAAGACTTACTTCCCTAGATTTTAAAATTAGGAAGGACTTTAGAACTCATTTAAACAAGTGACTTGATAATAAATCACTTGTTTAAATGCAATTCTCCATGGGTGGAAATCCAAATGACAGCCTGTGAGCATGATGGTGCAGTGTGTGCATCTCAGGAGTACTGGCTGTTTTGCACCTGCATGAACCAGACACAGGCTCTGGTGGGGAAGGCAGTGCTGGGTTGTTTATATCCAGTGAGATGCCGTGGCTTTTCCACAGTGTCATTTCTGCTGCATCTTCAGGTGATACGTTCATCAGTCCCCATCTGCATGTGAATTCAAGTCATCTTTTCTACCACAGTGGTTACCATAAGCACACATCAAAACTCTTTTCCACCTTTGTACCATTTTTTAGTCTGTGTGTGTGTGTGTATGTGTGTGTGTATCTATTTACTGTATATAATGTGTGTGTGATATATATACGTATATATATCATATATATATCATATATATATACGTATATATATCACACACAAATTATATACAGTAAATATATATATAAAATCTCTTTGGGGACTTGTACTATATTCTGAAACTATATGCTCAACTAATTTCTCCAAAATACTACTACTCACATGCCAATCAGCATGTGACTCTGTAGATATCATTAGCTCCACCCCATCTCAAACACAAACAGATATAAATGTGTATCATATATCCAGACTTTTTATGGATGGGTAGATAAGGCTAGATAGAGGTAAAGTTCACCTTGTCCTTAGGACTGGAACTAGGGTCATCCCTGATTCTTGCAAGAAGCTCTTTCTTCTCTACATGGTAGCATCATTTCTACACGGAAAATGTGGACTTGGAAGCAGGCACAATTTCACTTTTCAGAGGGAGCTCCCAATAGACTCACATTAGCTGGCGGGGAGCCATGTTCTAGCCATATTCCCAACCACTTCCTCCTTCTCACCAGAGCCATTTTCTGTCTCTGGACACAGGAAATCTGCAATACTAGAGAAAAAGTGAATTAAAGTCTACTGCTTAAATTCTCAAGAAATAAATATGTCTACACCCTTGGCAGACTTCCCATAACCTCTAAAGCCTCATTTTCATTATACATATAATTATTATGGTGTGTTTAGTTTTCCTATTGGAAGTTTGACTTTTGGTTTCATTGAATCCATAGTGGTTACCTTAGAAATATAATCTCTCCTGGGATGATCACTGTGTTTTCTAGGGTTACTTTGTATCTCAGTATCCTAGTGTCCAAA